GCCTAGGACTCCTGGTGTGGTGCTGTAGAACTGCAAACCACAAGGTCAGCAAACCCACCAGCTGTTCCTTGGAAACTCTATACAAGCTCCCTATGAGCTGGAATCAACTTGACAGCGCTTAGCAACAATAACATCAGCTCTGTCAGATACTGTTATCATCTCATTTCTCATGTTAAAAAAAAAATGAGGCTCAGAGAGGGCAAGACATGTACCCAAAGTCACACAGCTACTGAGAGGCACTTCACTTCCGCTCTACCCTCCCCTGAAAGTCCTTCCCTGATCCTAGAACTGAGAAAAGGCAGTCTGCAGCTAAACTGTAAATTCTCATTCCAAGCAGCTGGAAAGAGGATTGGCTGGCACAAGTTTTACCAATAAAGAAAATTCAAGGAGTCCTGGTGTGGCGCTATGGGTTAATGCGCCAGACTGCAAAGTCGTTTGAACTGCAGGGTTGGCAGTTCAAGCTCACCAGCTGCTCCTTGGAAACCCTATACAGGGTCACTATGGGTCAGAATCGACTGGATGGCACTTAACAACAAGAAGAAGAAGGTGAAAGAATGAATACAATTAAAATACCACAAAAGCAAATTCCTTCCCAGTGGCTTGTTATCAGTGGCTGACAGGATTAACATGTTGCTTCCACCACATGGTGGGTCTGGGCTCAAATCAGCACACAGCTGGCCTGTGGAGCCAAGAGAGAATCAAACCGGAAGTCCCCTGCCCCCACCAACAAAGCCCCTATTCACCAGCTCTTCAGGTAGCTCTGGGACAAAGTGACCAAAAGCAACACAAACACACAAATGCACACAATACACTGTCCCTCATTGACTCCAGGCGCAGCAGACCTGTGGCCTGAGGCTATGCCATCTTAAGGCCTCATGTTGTTGTTACCTGCCAGCAAGTCAGTTCCAACACACAGCCACCCTGTCTAGGTTTCCCAGGAAAGGTTGGTGGCTCTGCTGCTTATCCTACAGTAGTAAGAAGCAGTGTCTTTCCGTTGATTCTGACTCATGATAACCCCATGTGGATCAGAGTAGAACTGTGTTCCAGAGAATTGTCAATGGCTGGAAGCAGATTACCAGGTGGTTCTTCCAAGCACCTCTGGGTGACCTTGAACCACCAATGATGACCTGTCTAGGGGTCAAGTTACCTGACACAGAGGCAGAGGAAGGTCAAGGAAGGGGAAGGCAATGTTCCAACAGGGATGAGCACTGCTCCACAATTTCCATAAGACCCCAAAAAGGATCTTAACAAAGACCCAAAGAGGTACAGGTTCTCCTCTCACTATCGCACTATTCCTGTATCATTCTGCAGAAAATAGTCCTTTCAGTGTGCGTGGTCGGGGGTATGGGACAGAGGGCTGGAGGGAGAGATAGCCACACACAAAAAATCCTGTTTGTCAAATGCACAGTGGGGAATTCTTCCTTCCCCAACCCCTCCAAGGGGCTAACATTCTAACATTCCCTGGCACACAATACAGGGGAAGCCACCATAAAAATGACTTAATATATGCCCTTTTGAAGTGGAGAAACTGTCAGACCAGTGATTATATATAAAAAAAATAAATAACACAGCTGGAGAAACCCAAATTTATTCTTGCTTAGTGAACTTCCAGATCAAAATGCACTAAGTTAACCAGTCAAGTTTTGCTTTCGTGTTGTTTTTGTTTTTTCTGTCTTCTCATAGATGCCAGCAGATTCCACTTACCATAAAAATTAAAACAAAAACAACTCCCCGGCCTCATGCTCCACCACATCAGCAGACCTGGTAGACCATGAGACAGACGCTTAGGGAAGGTGCCCAGTCAGGGCAGGTGCCTAAGATAGCAGCCCCCTCCACTACACCAGCCCCTGACCAAGCTAAGGAGAAAGGGGCTGGGGGGCCTGCTCATGGGAAGGACCAGCTCTGTAGACATTTGTTTTACTCCCCCACTCTCCCCACCCTTTCCTCCGCCTGCTTTCTCCCTTAGGTGCAGACTCCAAAGATGCAGGTAACTAACACTGGGCTTCGCAGCCACTGGAGGCTTCTTGTAGAAAAGGTAAAAAGCTACACTCTTGCTCCCTATCTGGCCCCAGTCAGCACCAGGCCATTCCCAGCTCCAGCAGGAGACCGCACACACTAAAAGACAATTACCCAGAGTCAGTAGGGCACAGACTTAATTATCAGAGGCCTTTAGAAACATTTCAGCTGGGAGGAGGAGGTGAGGAGGTGAGGCGGGAGGGCGAACACCAAGGCATTTGTATTTCTGTTGATGCTGAGTGTTCAAACCCCGCAGCCCTGCAGCAGAGGTCTAGCCTCTCGCGTGCCACAGAGCGCTCATTAAAGACTCTGAGGCGAGCAAAACTTGATTTCTTTTGGAATTTAAAACTCTTTCAGAGATTTCTTCTGAGAAGGTCAGACAATTGAATTGCAGTGAGTTTCACGATTTATAAAATCCTAGCTCGACAGATAATATAAATTCCAACCAAGTTTCTGTTTGTATTATAGGAGAAGATTTCTAACCAGGGCTTACAGGCTACAGAGCTGTAGCTCCCTTTAATAATGAGCCTGGTTTAAAGACCCCAGGAACACACAGGCTTCACAGAGCTCCAAGGAGCTTCAGTTCAAGCAGGGCTTCGAACCCCTTAGAGCCCCACTGAGAATTTGCATTTCCACCCCAGATATACTAAATCGGAATCTACACTTAACAAGATCCCCAGGTGACTCTTAAATTCTATGTATCCTTAGGAATGGAGTCCTGGTTTAAATGGCAAGGTTGGTATTCAAGCTCACCAGCATCTCCTAGGAAACCTTATACAGTATGAGTGGAACTGACTGGAGGGCCCTTAACAATATACATAGGAATCACCTGGGGATCTGTTCCAATGTAGATCCAGATACAGTATATCTGAGGTGGAACTGCAAACTCTCAGGGGGATCTAACCGGAAGGAACCAGTTTGAAGCCTTGGCTAGGAGGAAAGATGATGAAGAAATGGCATTGGAAGAAACTGGAATCACAAAATTGCAGAACTAGGGAAGAGTGTTCCTGAGCTCCCCTGTTCCCATTCTCAGGTGGGGAAACCAAGGCCTCAGGGACAGTGGCCAAAGTGAGAGGCTCACCTAGGACTTTCAGCTCTTGATTGAGTGCCCCTTCCACAATCTCCCGCTGTGATACCAAGAATCCCAAAACTTAAGTAACACACACTATATGATGGTGGGAATGAGATACGAAGACAGGGACAAGTTCAAATGGCAGCTGTTTCACCCACACTGTTACTTCTGCCTGGCTCCACTCCCCACTCTCACTCCCACCCCTAGAGTAAGAGGCCCCAGTGACTTGTGAGAGGATTATGTAAGGCCCCAGGAGTTATCAGCTCATTCAGAGACCTTACAGGAATTTCCTGTTATGTGATCTGGGTCTTGCAAATCACCACAACCAAGCTGTGGCTGTCACCTCTTCTCCTTCCTCTTAGGGGAAATGTATGCCCTTGAGTCACTAGTGGCCTGTGCCCTGCAGCTCTCCAACAAGTGGGCCTGGCTCCAAAAGCGTCCACAGGGAGTCAGCATGAGGAATCCATAAGGAGAACAAAGTCCACGCCAGCCCGCTGCACAGTGAAATCTCAGCAACCTGGGGCAGCTCTGGCTCTGACACACAGGAGAAAGAGTTAGCACATCCAAAAGCCTGCAGGTGCTGCCTTTTTGTGGTTGTTGTTGTTTAGTTATTTGACATGTATGACATGCAAAAGGATATAAAGGCAAACCAGCAGTACTGCAGCCCTCCAGAGGCAGCCCTTAACCCTGGTCTCCTCCCCACCCTCCACCCCCTAGGTAACTGTCATGCTGACATTTAGAAACACTATTTCCTTGCTTTTCCTTACAATTTACTACTTGTGTATGCATCCCTAAGGATTATTTTTCCTTATTTATTACAATGGGACCGCGGTGGCTCCACAGGATAGCCACAAGGTTCAAACCCCCGGGAAAAAGATGAGGCTTTCTGCTCCCACAAAGATTTTAAAAGTCTTGAAAACCCTATATAGAGTCACTATGAGTCTGAACTGACTCGACAGCACTTAACAACAACAACTTTATTACCAATAGCTACAGTTTGTTTATTTTTGATGCTACACAGAAATTCATTATATGAATCTAACACCATTTATTTATCCATTAGGCTGTCTATGGACAACGGTTGCATCCCATTTTTGGCTACCACAAATAATGCTGCAAAGAATATTCTTGAGCGTGCCTCCTGGTTCATAGTTCCTCTATGGCACACACCAATGAAATGCTACATCATACAGAATGTGCTTTTTAACCTGGGTAAAGGAATGTCCATCTGTGGTTCCAAGCGGCTGTGCTGCTCCTACCTCCTTACAAAAGAACTAAGAACCAACCTCACTTCTATGATGGGGCTTCAAAACGTTTGTGGAATCATGGAATTTTCCACAAAATGTTTTAAGCTCCCTCATATAGGTTAGGTGACTCAGAGGCCAAAGAAGTCAGCTTTAGCACCAGGATGGAAGTTAAATTTATATCCTGTTATCTCCTCCATTAGACAAAGCCCAAGAGTTAAAAACTCTGAATGTAACCAGAGCCAACAACCAAAGACAACAAGACTTTCCAGAAGGAAAATGTCACAAAATCCCACAAATTAATGAGGTAGCAAACATAAATTGGGAGATCTATCTGCCCTTACTCTTGAATTATAAGCAATAAATACAAATGCATTCCTAAGATATTAAATGCAAAAAAAGACTGCAACCAACCAGGTGTCACTGAATCATTTCCATCTCATGCTAACCCCATGTGTGTCAAAGTAGAACGGTGCACCACAGGATTTTCAATCGTTTTTATAGCAGTAGATCACCAGGACACCAGGACTTTCTTACCAGGTGTCTCTGGGTGACCTCAAATTTCTCCTTTCGGTTCACAGCCAAGCATGTTAACCATTTGTACCACTCAAGGATAAATCCCTATCTGCCATGAGTGGCAAGGGAGAGACTGAGAAGCTACAACATACCTGTACACCGGTTGCATCTCTCTGGCTATGCCAATGACGGCGCTTGGTAGGAAATTGTCGAACTCCTCAAACAACTCCCGGATGTTGGTCTTATACTTGAGGTCTAGGTCCAACTGAATGATCCTCAGGATCTCTGGAGGAAAGAAAAAGAGAACAATGAAACCCAGATATACATCCTGGTAGGCTTAGCCAGTCAGCACAGAAAGTGAAATGGGGGAAAGGGGCAGAAAGGGTACTAGATTGTCATTGCTGTCACTGAATAAGACAAAGGTAGTGTTGTTGTTAATTGCCTTCGAGTTGTTTCTGACTCATAGAGACCCTGTACAGGATTTCTGAGGAGCAACTGGTGAGCTTAAATGGCCAATCTTGTGGTTCAAACCGACCTTGCAGTCCAGCACATTAACCCACAGCACCATACCAGCAACCCATTCCACATTAGAGTCTTCATAAGCAGTTGTCCTGTATCTTTCTGTTCAATTGCCACCACACATTTGACTTAAACTAGGTGACCATATGTTCCAGATTATGCCCATTATACTGGTACAACTGTCAGCACTGGGCTCTTTTGCACTCTGGTTTGGATAATACACTATGTGATTACCCTACTGAAAACCCAAGTGTTCTTTTGAGATATAGTTGGCAAGTAAGGAGTACTAAGAAGGAAAAAAAAACACAAAAAAAAACAGGAGAGAAGAAAAAAAGTTATTTTCTTAGCCCTTTTCAGTATGTCCTACAAAACCAAATACTTATCAAGTTAAGGTGCTTACTCAGAGAAATAACTAGAAGGCATCAGACACTGTCACTCCATTGTCTAAAATACAAACTGAGTCACAATGATTCCGCCTTACAGATAGTTCTCTGGCAGGCAAGAACTGCTTCTTTTTGATGCCACCATCTAAATCAGAGGTGAGAAGAAAAGAAGGGAAGCAGATACTGCACAGGCACACAGAGAGACACACTGGAACAATTCATCTGCTCATCCCGTCACACAACCACATCAGACTGAATGCATATAATGTCCGTGCCAGGAAGGATATCAGAGAATGTGCTGACTGGGGTCCTGCCCTCAAAGACAGACACAAACTAGTCCTTCCCAGCACTGGTTCCAAAGACAGGAGTGTGAAATGAAAGGTTGAAGTACAGAGAATAAGAATCTAGTAATAAGGTGTCCTTAAGGAGCTCGGTTATTGGCCATTTTGAATCTGACAACCACATGGTTTACTATGCCAGGAATGACAAATTGAAGAGGAATGGTGTTGCATTAATTGTCAAAAAGAACATATCCAGATCAGTCATGAGGTACAATAATGTCTGTGATAGGATAATATCCATTCACCTACAAGGAAGCCTAGTTAATACCATTATTATTCAAATTTACGCACCAACCACTAAAGCCAATGAGGATGAGATAGAAGAATTCTACCAACTTCTTCAACCTGAAACCGATCAAACATGCAATCAAGTTGTATTGATCATTACTGGTGATTGGAATGCAAAGGTTGGGAGCAAACAAGAAGGATCAGTCATTGGAATATATGGCCTTTGCGATAGAAATGATGCGGGTGATAGAATTCTCCAAAATCAATGATTTGCTCATTTCAAATACCTTCTTTAGACAGCATAAGAGATGATTATACACATGGACCTCACCAGATGGAATACATAGAAATCAAATTGACTACATTCGTGGAAAGAGATAATGGTAAAGCTCCATATCAATAGTCAAAACAAGGCCAGGAGCAGACTGTGGAACAGACCATCTAAAAAACAACCTGGTATCGTTCATCCACCACACCGCACAGCACCAGACGGCCCTTTTAGAGATTATTCCGGGTGAAGACCAGCAAGAAGGCTTCTGCCTGAGAGCAAAGGCAAAGAAAGAGGAAGTGAGATCAACAGGAAGGGAGTGGTCTTATATAGGTCCAAATCAGGAGATCACACGTCATTGCTGGTGGGATTGCTGGCCTATCCAAAACCATGTTGCCTATTAAGCCACGCCCCTTGCAGCTTAGTTTGGCGGGGAAACAGACAAAATGGAGCTGAAGGGAAGGGAGAGGGAAGAACCCGGAAGGTATTGTAACACCATCAATTGTTGTTGTTGTTGTTGTTGTTAAGTGCCATGGAGTTGGGTCTGACTCATAGCGACCCTGCACTGGGTTTCCGAGGCTGGAAATCTTTACAGGAGCAGAATGCCTCATCTTTCTCCCGCGGAACCACTGGTAGTTTTGAACTGCTGACCTTGTAGTTCACAGCCCCATTCGTAACCACTACGCTACCAGATATCCTTAACACCATCAATTACTCATATGCAAATTCAAACAGAAGCTGAAAAAAATGAAAACAAGTCAAAAAGAGCCAAAATATGACCTTTAATATATCTCACCCGAATTTAGAGATCATCTAAAGAACGGATTTGATACATTAAACACTAAAGACCGAAGACCAGAAGAGTTGCGGAATGGCATCAAGAACATCATACATGAAGCAAAAAGTCATTGAGAAGACAAGAAAGAAGGAAAAGGTCAAAATGGATGTCAGAGGAGACACTGAAACTTGCTCTCCAGCGTAGAGATGCTAAAGAAAATGGAACAAATAAGGAGGTCCAAGAGCCGAACAGAAAATTTCAAAGATAGCTCGAGAAGATTAACCCAAAGTTTACAACAAGATGTGCAAAGATTGGAATCAGAAAACCAAAAAGGAATAACATGCTCAGCATTCCTCAAGCTGAGGGAACTGAAGAAAATATTCAGGCCTCAAATTTTGTTATTGAAAGATTCTCTGAGTAAATTATTGAATGATGCAGAAAGCACCAAGAGAAGATGGAAGGAATACAAAGAGTCACTGTACCAAAAGGAAATGGTTAATGTTCAACCATTTCAAGAAGGAGCATATGATCAAGAGCCAATGTTACTGAAGAGGGAAGTGCAAGGTGCATTGAAGTAATTGGCAAAGAACAAGGCACCAGGAATTGATAGAATAAAAATTGAAATCTTTCAAGAAAGTGAAGCGCCAGAAGAGGCACTCACACATCTCTGCCAAGAAATTTGGAAGACAACGATCTGGCTGACTGATTGGAAGAGATCCCTATTTGTGCCCATTCCAAACAGAGGTGACCCAACAGAATGTGGAAATCATTGGACA